GGCTGCATTCCAGCTCTGCTACGTGCTGCAGAAAGTCTCTCCTTCCACATGCCCAGTGTACTCGCTTTTAGTTTATAAACCAGCACGTATTTTCCATGAGCAGTATCTGCAGATAAAGGTGCTCAAAATGAGGGCTAGGCATTTAGCTACAAATCCTTTAATAAGATGGTTTCAAAAAGCTTCCCTTCCAGTAATGTCCCTCTCAGTGCCTCTCTCTGAGCTTCCTCCTCGTGCCTCGTTCGCCACTGCTATGAAAGTACATGCTGCATTTGGAACTACAGCAATCGTAGATGAAACAAAGGCTGCTGGAGTTTACCAACATCAGGTACCAACAGCATAAAGCTGAGAATAGTCTGGGCTTCAGCTTGTGCTTTGTAAGTCTCCCAGGACCTCGTGCACTTAGCAAGGCAACAAGCCTGCAATGAGGTCTATGCTATCACAATTTCATTTCTACTAGAATGTGGGGGACTTCTTTGGAGACGAGTGTGTATGCTATTATCACACCTGCAAACCCCTGCTCCAAGAGGAGATGTCACTTACGCCAAGTTCTGAAATTCAGACTAAAGCAAACCAGCTCAGAGAAGAACTGCAACCTCTCATTTTCATCAGCAGCCTCCTGGCTTGTTTTTAACTTGGTCTTTTTAGGAGGCTGTGTCTCCAATGACCACATATGTCACAGCTGAATCTTCACAAACGTGGCCTCTGACAGAGAAGAGGCTTACACCTGTTCTCAAAATCCAGGGCTTTGAATTTCACTTTGGATCAAATGGCAATCAATGCAGGTCACAGACTGTCTTTTCTTCATGCTTTTAGCAAGAAATGCTGGTAAATGAAAAATCAGCGTATCAGACCTCCCTTCAGTACAAATACAAAGGTACAGTTATTAGAGCATTTCCAACTCAACTAAGATAACTCTGCCTAAAAACGCTATTCACTTTTTGTGCAAAGAGCAGTCCTCGACTCAAAATATTCTCCAAATTCTGTCTCAATTTCCTGACTCTCCCCAACTGCTATATAGGGCCATATATCCAATAAACTCACATAGAGCATAACTAAGCATTACATCAATACTTTAATTCGGCTTTATCTTGCATTTCTACATCCACTCGTTGTCAATTTAATTTTTCACATGTGTTCTCTGCATAGTTCAAAGCCTTACAGAGTGGGAAATAATGGCACTGATATCTTCCTGTCCTTCACATAGCTATGATAACACTTCTGGCTGTGAAAACCTACGACTAACACTGCCATTACATTGCTGAACTAGTCTTAAAATAGGTACAGCACTTACAGCAACTACAGCTTTGGAGAAAGAAACAGAAAAATCTTTCACTGGCCTGAACAGAGGCAACAAAAGTTCCCCAGCAACTGCTTATGGCAGTGGAAAATCACGCAGTGCCACTATAATTCAGTAGGTGTAAAAGGTATTTCAGTTTGGAAGAAAATTTGTTTATAAAATCTTAATAACTATGGAAAAACAAAGACATTGAGTATGGTTCTGAACAAAGAGGAAACTTCTTCATATATCACTCTCTATGCTGTCACCAAATCATATCTACCCCTTGATCTCACTAACTATGAGCAGTGCGATCATATTGCCTCATGTCCCAGCTGGTAATTTCTGTGGTCTGTTCTCTAGGAACATCTAGAGTGTTCCCACTCCAGTTGGCTGTGGAAGTCTACGCTTAATTTACTTTTTCTATCTTCATTAATCACAGGCACCGTAAAAAAGATTAACTAAAAAAAAAAAAATATATCACTGAAATTGATTATTCTCTATACTGCAAAACCACAGAAAAATAGGTATCAAGTGGTGATGTGATAGGAATTGGTGCTGCATTCCACTTTCCTTTACACAAAACACAGGCTCCCCTTATGCTAAGAAAGCCTGAGGCAATTTGAAACTGTCTGAACTACTATTCGCAAATAAACAGCAACAAATATACTGTCTGCTCTGCAGGAAGAATAAATCCTTTGGGGTTTTGATTCAGTGTTTGATTTAGTCTTTCTCCTCTTAGTTCACCTCCTTGAAGACCAGAAGCAAAAGACAAAGATGTCACCAACATTGCAAAGAGAATGACAGTATTGGGACTCTACTCTTTTTTCCTCTACACCCTATGATATGACAGGCAGATAAAAAGGACACTGAGGGGGACAGGAGACTCAGTGACTCAGACTACAGCACTTCATTTCTTTGTTTCCAACTCCATGAGAAATCACCTATTGCTTTATCAATCTCAGTGGGATAAAAGGCCAAAAAAAAAAAAAAAAGATAAAATTCCCTCTAAAGCAACTGGAAACATCATGGAAGGGAAATACAGCAGAGAAGTCTCAAGTAAAAGGACAGCATCTGCTCTTCTTTATTACTCATGGTATAATCTCTTTCCCATTGATTATACAAGGTGACAAGAAAAAGCCAACCATACACAGATGGACATTTTCTCTATCTTCAGGCCTTCCCTCTCCAGAATATGGGTGTCCAACGACTGGTCCAGAAGGTAGATCTGACCCAGAAAGTGCATTGAGCATAATGAACTGCATATTGGGCAACTAAGTATTTTGTTCAGCTTGGGACAGGATAGGGAAGCGGAGGTATGTCTGAACTGACTGGCAGGGAACAATTATTTTCGGCATTCATGACTCAAACAACTCTGCCTGTCCAACTCACTCTGAATATGAACATCGCTGGTGATTAGACATCAGCCATTTGAAAAAGGCATCACACTGGAAGATTGAAAAGTAGCTTACTTGAAACAGCATTAACCTCAAATACCATGGCTCTCTAGAGGAATATTCAATTAGTCTCCAGAAGTTCTACATGTGGTATCAGTCAGCAGTTATTGTTGTTGTACTCATCAGGACAGACCAGCAATGAAATAGGACAGCAAATATCAAAATAAAACTAGGAAAAAGAAAAACAAAGTGGGAAACACGGGGGATGTTATTCATACAACGTTAGGACCAGTCTCCCGTGAGTTATACTACATCTGACCATCTTTTCTTTGCACACCTCCTCCCATATACACACAACTTAAAGATATGTGACTAAAAATTGGGGGGGGGGGAGGGGGGGGAGGGATGAAGAGGGCAGCAAGCACAGCCTGATAGGAGGAGTTTCACCGCCTGGATCCAGACCCCACGTCCCAGCCCTGAAGGAGTTACCCAGGGCCACTCTCCTGCAGTGCTGGGCAGGCCAGGGCTCCAACAAAGTCAGCTGGACTTTCAGCAACGTTGTCAAAAAAAAAAAAAACCAACAAACAAGCAAAACCTCTGGGCCCTTCACAGCTGTTTCCCTCCCCATGTCTTTGTACTGATTCCTTTACTGCTTTTTTTCCAGAAGAGTGAATTCAAAAGTATTTGACATCTCAGTGGTAACCCGGCTTCAATACTCCAGCTACAAAAGGTGACAACTACAAAAAATTGGTTTTTAAAAAATGTTTAATCACTTAACAGTTACATCTTTAAACTGCTGCATGAAGTGCTACAAAAAAGCTAAATATTGTTAGAAATCTCTTGGTTTTGTTTATCCTGTCAGCACCTTTTTCTACCAAAGCAGTGACAAAACTTGCAGCCACTGCTTGTGACATTAACAGGAACATAATAGTGGAGTTTGTAGCAGAATATTAAAATTGAAGAAGCTTTCAGTTTCACTTTACACAATTACCCCAGCAACAACGCAAACATATTGAAATCACACCACTGATCAGAAAATTCATGTTTGGGACAGAAAAGCACTGAAATGATCAGTGGATAACTAATATTTCTTATGCAACTGGACTTAATTCTGCTAACTGCAGAGTCTATAAATCAGTTTCTCCACAAAACTCTAAAGTCGTAAGTGCCAAACACAAATATCTTTCTCATAATCCCATCCTTGATCTTTTCATGTTATTATTGGACTTCTTATTCTTAGCTACATGTTGCTAAAATAAGTTGCTCTTTTTTTCCTACAAAATTTGCCAAACCCACTGCTGGAATGCATTTGTATTGTCCTCGTACTAGAAGAATTCCTGTAACATTCCCATTGACCTAATTGCAGTTTTTGGCCTGAAAAGATGACACGTTTGTGTGAAATCTGGTAAAGCTGTTGAAGCAGGGATACTAGAAATGAAGTACCCTTCTGGCCCCTTTCATCAAGCTCCAGGCTGAATCCCCTTAGGAATGTGATGGCAATTCTTCGTCCTGCTTTTTTCTAAAATCCTATTCTAAGCTGCTTAAAAAAAAAAAAAAAGTCCAAAATCTGACTGAAATAGCCCAGAAACTTAAGTAAAGACAGCTGGAAAGATGAAAGAGTGATAATGTTTAGATGCAAACCGAGTGACATGTTCCAACAACTGGCAGGGACTAAATTGTCCCAGAAATGTATGTAATTTCATCTGACATTAAAGAATACAGTGTCAGTGGGAAAATCTCTGAAACCACAATACAATTACATTGTTATAAGTCTCTATTTGGAAAGCATTATCATTACTTAGATAAAAACAGGGTTTTCATATTTATACACCCTCCGCGTGGTACCTGTTACAGCAAACCTTCTTCCTCATAGCAGGAGGAGAGGAAAAAATAAATAAATTACAGGACAAAATTGATTGTTCAAAGATAGTTTAAAGCCTTGGTAGATACCATATGCCGTCTCTAGGCAAGCAGTTCAAATGCATCAATATTATATGAAAAACGCAAGGAATATCGTATCCTGTATTAGAGTCAAAACACAGCTTGCAGAGCCTCCAACCCCAAGCAACTCCTGCTTTTGCCCCCGCTGCAGATGAAGCTCACTCTGGGCGAAGTCCCATTTTATGGCACAGTCAGTGCCTTTGACTTCTATCCTTTAATCTGGTGAAATCCTTGGATGTGCCCACAATCCCCTTTAGAGTCATGGTTCAGGGACACATACGTAACCGTGGCTCAACTATATCAGGGTGCTGTGTTCCCAACATATGTCTGCTTGTAACATATGCATGTAACTTTCTAAGGTTCTGTCACCATAGGGGTTTCCTTACCTGCGCAGATCTTCCCGTCGTAGGTCTCACACACCCAGTCATGGCACTCGCAGAGCGGACCGTAGTATGTGCCGGACTCAGTCACTTGGCAGATGCAGACTCCACACTCGCATCCGCCTCTGCCGCTGCACAGCATCCCCCCTGCGACACTGCACCTGAGCTCCGACTCGGTCCGGGACAGCCGGCACGAAGAAGGATTACTCAAACCGCTCCTGTGGAGGACAGCAAACAGAGCAAGCAGTGGTCAAAGCCAGGGGCTTGCAGCTCAGAGCCGATGAGAGCTTGGCTTATGGGAAACCATCCTCCTGCCATGGCTTCAGCCCATCCCCAGAATATTGTTTTGAATGCCACCACTTTAGTTCTGGTTGTAAAATAACCCCATTTTCTTCTCTTTCATCAGAAAAGTCATTGCTACCTGAGGGAATGCCTATATTGTATTTTACTTACCTTGTTAACTGCATTAGGCTCATCTTTTTCATCATGCATATCTGGTATATACGCATATCTCTGGTATATACGCATATACATGCATAGTTTGATTATCTATCATGAAATACTTTGATTTGAATTATTCCAACAGGTTTAGAAAAGACATGCACATCCAAACATCTAGGTAACATAAGAAGAATATATGATACCGAAAAGCAAGCCTACGGTTGATTCTAATAAAATACATTTGCCAAAGTAATCCTTCTGGTTGTCAGATATATAGGATCCATGCTTTCATCAGAGAAGGAAACTGAAGTAATCACTGCTTTCCATGCAATAGCATAGTTTGTGGCTGTGCTTTTAGTAAAGTCAGCAGAATCCGGATGCTAGACCTGAAGATTTGCAGCTCTGCCAGGTGATTGTGCCATGCACTGGAGCATGCAGAGATCAGGACTTTGAGGACACGCACAGGGAAAAAACATACGTTTCCTCATCAGGAGCGGGATTGTCGGAAAAGAGAACAAAGGACCGGCCAAGCCAAAACCAGGTGTTCTCAGCGCTGGGGAATAATACTGAGGATTCAGGTGACGAGTACCTGGCACTTCTCAGAGATGGGATTTTGCAGGCTCTGGAGCTGAGGAGCTGCCCGCTGTAAGAGCAGGCGGCTGCTGGCCCTGGTGGAGGGGCAGAGCAAAGGGCAACGTGCCCCGCTGTGCCGCCGCACCGA